TCTGATTTCTTCAATCAAAGCACAAGGCTGGGACGGTTACTTTGACAGGCTTATGGGTCCTGTGTATCCAACGTTAGTGAAGGAGTTCTGGATCCATGCATATGCTACTCCAAAGTTCATTCACTCCTCTGTGCTGGGAAAAAAGATAGTTATCACTGAAAACCTGATAAGGAAACTCATAGGTTTTAAGGCAACTGATGGAGTAACCTCTCTGTCTTCTGCGCGTGAAGACCTGAAAGATGTATGTCAAGAAATCTGTACTACTGGTGAACCTTGTAAGAAGGTTAAGTTCTTGAAACCCACTTACAAGATATGGGCTAAGATTTTCATGAACACCATCTTTCACAGACCCTCTTCAAACTCTTCTGATTATGTTAATGCTGAACAACTTTACTTCATGTATTGTTTACACCAAAACATTCAGATTGATCTTCCATATTTGTTGTTTAATCATCTGGTGTCTCACGTCAAGGAAACAAGGGAAACAGCCAGAGATAAATCTGGAAAAGTCAGAACATGGATCCCTATGGGAAGGCTGATTTCAGATATTCTGATAGAAAACCAACTTGTGGCGCATCTGCAAGAGGCTGGGTTGACAGAAGATCTGACTTATATCATTGGCTCTGAAATAAACGGTTTAACTTTGAGAAGGATGAAACTGGTTGATGATTTATCTGAGAAACCACGGAAAACTAACTCTGAAGAAGTTAGGGGAAGAAGGATTCCTGTTAAGGATTTTCCTTTATTCACCTCAGATGAACCTAGAGAAATTATTGCTGAGTATGTTGCTCGCTGCCTAAGAGATGGTGTTGAGATTCCTGCCAATCTTGTGCAGAAGGAAGGCCAAGTTCTTCCTGATTTGACAAGGGAAAGAAGACGTAAGAGAAAAGTTAATAGTGAAGGTCATCAGTAGAAAAGGAAGCACTCAGATGCTGAAAAGAAGAAGAAAAGGAAGAAGCTGAAGAAGGTTCAACCAAATCCTCCTGCAGCAACTTTTGAAGAAATTAGAGATACTCTGAAACAGGTATTTAACACTGATTCTAATCCTGTTCATCATTCTGATACCCCCACACCCTCTAAACCATCTTCTGTGCCCCCTCATACACCACAATCCAAGCAACCAACAAACATACAAACAGAAATTCCACAACAAACTCAACAAACAACACCACAACCACAAAACACTATCCCAGAATATACCATTCCAGAGGATGTTCACCCTGAACACTCTGACCAACCTGAATATCTCATTGATCCTGATGAGATATTAGATGTCACACCTTTAAACCAGTCTGTCAATTTATCTTCAACTTCTGAAAAATCTAACCACTCTGATGCATCATCTGATGATGAATCATCTGGTTACATTAATGAATGCTTGAATGATCTCAAACAACCTCGTTCTGAGAGTGTTTGGAAACAGCTGTTTAAATCTCCAACTTCTGAACATCCACCTTCTCCACAAAATTCCCCAACTCAAACTCTCACTCCACAACCTCTTGAAATCCAAAACACTCCACAACCAACAGAAACCCAACCAATTCCCTCAATACCTCAACCACAACATTCTGACCAACAAACATCTGAACCACAAACCAACCAACCAACATCTGAACCACAAATCAATCCTCAACCTTCTGAACCACAAACATCTGAACATCCATCTTCACAACCTCAACCTTCTGAACAAACACCACAAACACCACTAACCCAACCAAGCAAACCAAGAATCCCTGATGAAGCAGAATTGGGATCACGTGTTTATACTCTGTTAAGAGATTTTGATAAGGATAATGTCTCAGACTTTGCTGACATTATGGATGTTTGCATGACTACTATGGACAAAGAGGCTGCTAACGCTGTTTGGAAGAAATATCTTTACAGACTGAATAGGGAGGCTTTGAAAATCAGGACTCAATGTCTTAGATTGTCAAAAGTAAGGTTTGCTGCTTATCAAAAACGGATTAAGAGAAACACTCCTCCTATTCTTCTTCTAGAAGCTCCTCCACCTCCAGAAATTCCTGCACCTGATGTTACTCAGACTGTTTCAAAATCTACTGTTTCAGAATCTACTGTTTCAGAATCTACAGATCTTCAGAAGGATGTCAAAGAACTTAAGGATTTTATGGTTGATCAAAAGAAAACAAATGAAGAAATGAAAACTTGGATGGCTAAGCAAGATGATAATTCAGAAAGGATTACAGCACTGCTGCAACTCATTGCTTCTCAACAAGCCTCATCTGCTAAACCTACTTGATGTTTTGCACAAGTTTTTCATGTTTTGCTTTGTTTTGTTTTTCTTCTGATATGTTTTGTTTGCTTTTATCTGAATCTGGATGTTCTCTTGACTTAATGACAATGATCTTTTTGCTTATCTGGATATGTGTTTCTTCTGCATCTTTACTGTCTTTTAAAATTCTTTTTGATTATGACAAAAAGGGGGAGAAACAAAATAGAATCTGATTGTTCAAATCTATAAGCAATTATCTGAACTAAGTCAGACATGTTACTAACATTCTTTGAATTTAAGTGTCCCAGATATTATTAAAAAAATCTGACAAATTTCATTGAAGTTTTTCCTGAGATCTATCTTTTCAGAACCTGATCAAAAATAGCTAAATCTGAGTAGACCAGACTCTGATATCTAACCTTGAGTACTATGATCTAAAAGATAACTCAAGACAGGAAATGGCAAGATAAACAACCAGGTGTTCTGAAGTTGTTCATCTGGCATCAAGCTTTAATATGGCATCAAGCTTTGACTCTAGAAGTCAAACATATGTCAACCAGGCTTCAATCAGGCTCTGAATCTGAAATGTACTCAACCAGAAAGGGAAGTATCTAATTCCATTAGAGTATTCATTTCAGGGGGAGATTGTTAATCTCAGGGGGAGTAATTTTAATTCATATTTTTATTGAACAAATTTCTCATGTTTTGTCATCATCAAAAAGGGGGAGATTGTAAGAGCACAGATTGTGTCTTAGTAATATCTCTATGTTTTGATGATAACATTAATGATAATTTGTATACAAGAATTATACTCTCTAAATTTGTTCTAAACTGTTTTCTACAGGCACAAAAGATTTTAATCTTAAAGAGCAAATTTGATGTGAACAATAAATTCTGAATGGCTCAAGAGCATCTGAAGATTAGAAGAATCTGAAGTATAAGAGCTTAGTCATCAAGATTCTGAAGATACAACACGCTGCATATATTATCAAGAATCTGAATGAAAGAAGACTCTGAGTGAAGAGACTCTGAATGAAAGAAGACTCTGAATGAGAGAAGACTCTGATCTGAGTGAAGACTCTGATCTAAGAGCATGTTACGCTTCAAGCACACAGCTGCACCAGACTCTGATTCAGCAACATCTGAAGAACATCTTAGGCTCTGAAGTTTCCAGAAGATTCTGAAGACTGAAGACTCTGATATTGATTGTTGATCTGAACTATCTGAAGAATTATTTGAAGAAGATTATTTTAATATATCCGTTGGAATATGCCAGCAAATCTTTCCTTAATTGGGATAGACATAAATCTCTGCAAGAAGATTATTCCTCTGATACATTCCATATATGGTAAATTCACAGCTCAGCAGACAATTGCTACACCCACATTTTGTGCGCCGTCTCTCTGCTGCAATAGTACAAAGGACTGTACCTTTTTTGATATTGGAAATATCTTCTCCAACGGTATTATATTCTCTCCAATATTCAAGTGGCTATATAAAGGATATCATAGCACTTTCTTCAGCAACAAAACGAAAGAAAAAAAAGAAAAGAGGACGAAATTATTGCAAGAACACTCTCACGCGAAAAACTCTCAAGCTCTCATATTCTTTGCTGTTCATACATTGTTCTAAACTTAGAGAAATAACACAGTTGTGTTTATAGCTTTCATAGAAGCAATTTCTTACTCTTACATTGTATTACATTAATTTGTAAAGGAAGTTTTCCTTAAGAGGATCTAGGATAGATCAGTAGCTCTTGAGAAGACTAAGAACAGTTGTTCTTAGGTGTTGTTTTCCTTAAGAGGATCTAGGTTAGATCAGTAGCTCTTGAGAAGACTAAGAACAGTTGTTCTTAGGTGTTGCTATTTGTAATCAGTTGATTTGAATAGTGGATTAAGTCCTTGTTGAGAAAGGCAAATCACTCTTGAAAAGGGTGGACTGGAGTAGTTGAGTTCAACGAACCAGGATAAAAATACTTGAGTTTTTATCTTTGATTATTTTCTGTCATACTTATTCAACCCCCCCTTCTAAGTATTTTCTCACCTTCACCGACCACCACCCCATATGAGACAAATGATGGATATCTTCAGTGGTATTATCGTGTTTCGCATCCTCTTCTGGTACCGCCTAATCGTGATGCGACAACAGAGATTCCAGTTCCTGTATATGAAGCAGGACCATTTGATACTATCTTGGCTCATATGTCTTCATTGATTCATAGTTATCTTTAACAGGCTGGTGCTGAAGAGAATGACCCACAGTTTGCTGATTTATTTGAAGCTTTACATATTGCTCGATCACAATGACTTATATTTATATTTATGGTTATATGTTAAATTTTAGACTCATTTGACCTAATTGGTTTATGTTCATGTGTTAACTTTTAGACTCATTTGACCTAGTTGGTTTATGTTTATGTGTTAACTTTTAGACTCATTTAACCTAGTTGATTTATGTTTACGTGTTAACTTGCAGCCTGAAATAAAAAATGAATAACATAATTCACGATTCATGTTTTGAAATTAAAAATAAATAACATAACTCACGATTCATGTTTTGAAATTAAAAATGAATAACATAATTCATGATTCATGTTTTGAAATTAAAAATGAATAACATAATTCATGATTCATGTTTTGAAATTAAAAATGAGTAACATAATTTATAATTCATAATGCGTTGGTAATATAGGCGTAAGCTGTTGCCAATGTTGTAGACGTCCTGCAAATCCTAGCATCCAAGATGTTGCTGCTGGAGAACAAAACTTCTTTCAATCTACTGTCACTAGTGGCAATGGAAACCCTTCTTTCATGTTTACCTAAATAAAAAAATAATCAAAATATTAAGTAAAAATAACGAAAAAGAATTAGGTTTAATCGCATTATCTAAAAACAACTAAGTACCTGAACCCAATGATTTCTGTTTACAAAACCAATGCAATAAATTGCTACATTTGGTGAAAATGAAGTTGTCACAGGGAAGAAAGTCCAACATTCAATTCCTAAATAGAAAAATACAACATTATAACAATTCGCTATCATGTAACCTATATCTGGTAGAGTTAACCATTTATGTGGTGGTTGAGGACCAAATTCCTCTATCATCAAAGATTCTCTCACTACTGCTAACTGATCAGTAAATAAATTGGCATACAAACTTAATCTTTCATTATGTATTATTTCCAACCCCAAGTCTCGACGAACCATTGGCCAACCATCTTTACCATATCCATGCAATGAAGCAATGACTCTAAATCCACAATTACCATCTGATACAACATTAACTACATCATCAATATATGACCTGATGTGATTAGAAAACTGAAGGATGAACTGCTTAGATGACTGTGAAGATTGTGATAATTTCAACTTCTTCGAAGCCTGTGATGGCTGAGATTTCTTTTATGAATATTGTGATAATTTCAACTTCTTCGAAGTTTGTGATGGTTGAGATTGCCTCTGTGAAGATTGAGATGCTTGATCAACATATTCATGATACGAAGGGTCTCTATAAACATCATACCCTACTGATTTTTTGTCTTTCTTCTTGACTCCCCCTTTAGTTTTTATTTTCTCAGGTGGTGGACACATAGAAGTCATTGTGGGGAAGGCAAGTTCAAAAACTCTACTTTTTAATGCCCTTTTCCCAACAACATCCAGTGACTTAACCTTTTCCATAACTCATCTATTGCATTACTCATATCCACCTCTGATCCATCATCTATGTCTTCGTCCAGCTTAACTTCCATACTTAGTTTTCTCTAATGAACATGTACAACATCTATTGGTATCGGTATACCATCAATTATATATCTTGTCAACTCACAAGCACAAGGTAATCCGTAGGTTGTTATAAGAGTACAACGACATATTTCCTTGTTAGTTCCAACATAATCAACTCGTTTTAACTCTTCAGCAATGTGTTTCAATGCATCTTGAGACACTGAACCACGTAAATTATTGTAAAATGGACTTACGTGGGCTTGCTCAACTTCATACAAACTCTTTTGAAAAGAAGCTCTAATATTGCTCAGTTGTAACTTTAAGTTGTCATTCATAGCCTCCCAACATTTGACCATGTCACCAATACTGTTCCCCAACATTTGCTTTAACTTCCAATGAGCAGACTCAACCCTAAAATTAATACATATTAAAAATATTTTTAAAAAATTTAAAAAAGATATACAATTTAGAAATACTAAAAATAAATACATACCGATTAGTCGTGGTGTTATCCAAATGTAGCACTCGATTAATCCATGCTCCAACAAATCTTTGTCTATGTGGTGTCAACCATGTGTCCTTCACGTAATTAATAAATTCATTACAATCAACACACGCCTGCTCAAGTTGGTTCAACCTTTGATCATACTCAACCTCATCACTAGCCCATACAACATCCGCCCATAATTCGTCAATTTTCTTTTGCATGTCACTAGCCACATACTGTTTCCGTTTTGCACCAACATTCTTGTTAATATGAAATCAACATAGCAAATTGATCGACCTTGGAAACACAAATTCAATGGCTTTTATCAAAGCAAGATCTCTATCTGTCAAAATCACTTGTGGACACAACTCTTTCTTCACAAACAATTGTTTAAGCTTATCTAGCACCCAACAAAAAGTCTCAGTCTGCTCAGACTCAATATAGGCAAATGCGACAGCAAAAGTCAACTCGGTTGATGTCATGCCAATAATTTCAAACAGAGGTTGCCTATATTTGTTTGTCTTGTAAGTGCTGTCCATAACTAACACAATAGAAAAAAATATTCAACAACTTAACTGAATCTGGATGAGCCCAAAATATATCTCTAATAACTTCTGAGTCATCTCTTTTTCTACCCCAATAAACATAACCTGCATCCTCAATAAGCTTAAACAAATGTTGTATCTCACTTCTAGGACCTCTTATATTTTTTTCTATCATACTCTTCTGCTTGTATATTTGCGTGATCCGAGTGACATTATCTGGATCTTGCTCTTGCAATGAAAGCAATATATGTCTAGGTGGAACCTTTCTCTTTGTCAAATCAACAACATGTTGCTTCTGATCCGCTGTCAATCTACCAACAAATGTTTGACCTTCTAATCTATCAGGTAAATCATGGTTATGAACTCCACATTTTACATCAATCTTCCATCCAGATCCATCAGTCGTTGGAATTGACCTGATTCTAAATGGACATCCACATTTTTTTGTCGCACTCTGGGTTCCACTATCAATATCTTTGTGTTTTCCTCCTTTATCGTATCCAAATATTAATTTGTTACTTCTTCCTCTCTTGCCTAATATCTGAACGAGTGATGATAACCGTTACTTTATTTCAGATTCCGATCTCTTTAATCCATCTTATCACCTCTTCTCATGTACCAAATCTTTGAGTAGTTGAAAAAACATCAGACATATCTATGCATATCTGATCTTTATCGCATATTTGTAAAGAAATTTTTGTACCTGCATAAAAATAAAATTATAAAAAAAAATTTTAAAAAAAATTTTAAAAGAAATATTACAAATGCAAACCGGAAGACTCCGACAAAGAGTTCCGGTAGCCAACGTTACCAAACCGGAAGACTTGTAAAAAGTGTTCCAGTACACTTTTTTACAACCGGAACTCTTAAGAAAAATGTTCCCGTAAAATTCTACGAAAAACGCCAACTGGAAGTCTTTTATAAACTCTTCCGATACATATTGTGTATAAACCGGAACTCTTTGGCAAAGTCTTCCGGTTTGGAAAAAACCATACCAGAAGTAATTTTAAAAGTGTTCCGGAAGACTCAATTGATAAATTTCTCAGAACTCTCAAAATCTGACACAGCAGTAAAAAATATAAAAAAAATAATATAATAAAAAATATATCGAGATAAAATTGATATTTTTTTTTAAATTGTAGGAATATAAATATAATTGTAAGGGTATGATGTAAAATTTCCGTTATTTCAATATGATATTTGCTTAATAGACTCTCAAAAAAAAATCAAAGATAAGTTTTTGTTTTGTTAGATACTCTTACCACCATCCAAAGACATTTCAAGCTATCCAGAAATAACATTAAGATGACATGCAAAGCAATGTAGAAGCCAAGACGTCGATTCAAAGAAATGAAGCTCAATCAGATATACCTAGAAAAAATAATGAAGCAGCGTATTTGTTAGCTAGGGAAAGGGAAAGTGTTGAGCATTTAACCTGCCATTTCTTACTTGTATCTAACACCTCTCAATTAGAGATTTTTAGCATTATATTTTTTTATAAAAATTAGTTTCTTAAAAAAAATTACATGTTTTTATCGAAATTTTGCAATGTATTAGAAATTTTAAAATTTTATATTTTTTTATTGGATATTTCGAAATTTTGACTGTTTTTAAATTTTTTGAAAATTTTTATGTTTTTATTTTTTTAATGGAAATTTCAAAAATTCCGAAAAAAGTATGAATTTTTTTTACACTATCAATAGTGCAAAATAAAAATTTTGGAAATTTTGAATTTTTTCCTTAAAATTCTTGTATTCTTCATAGTTGTTTTTAGAAATAATATAAAAAATTTTCACTTGTTTCAATTTTTTTTAAAGACAGTTTTAAAATTTAAAAACTTTAAAAAGTGTCAGGTTTAAATTGAAATTGTTGGTTAATTATTCGCAAGTGTTAGAAAGGATTGTAGAAATTGAAAAAAGGATAACCCTAATACCAAAAACCTATGTGTAATCTTTTTTGAACTTAGTAATGAAAATCTTTTATTAAAAAGGAAATGACACTTCTAATGCTATTAAAATAACTTAAAAGTACATGTATTTTGTAAGAATATATTTGTTCACGCAAAAACATAATTGTATTTCCCTGGTGTGAGATCTACAAGGCTTAGTTTTAACCTCATCAAAAAGGGTAAATGAATACTTATAAGAACTCATATTTGAATTGTCTGTTTCTTTTATTAAACGATTGTTGATTTATATAGAAATTTTATTATCTATATCCATAATCTCATAATCTTATTTATTGGTTATTATAACCTATGTTCTCATGTCCGTACAAGACTATTTATTGAAAATTAAGTCTCGGATCTTCTTACTTAAGACTAACCATTTATGTTCATTAAGACGACTTAAATATTTTGTCTATGAGATTGACGGTGTTTTCGGAACCCGAGTATAGACCCAGCTCAAAAAATTACTTTGAATGTTTATTGTTCCTTAAACATGGGGATCGTAAGTGCTTAAAGAAAAAAAAGTCTCTGACCTCTTGTTCGAGGCCGGTTTTTAAGATTATAAATGTAAAATGAGTATTAATTAGTCGTGAGTTGCATTCAACCTAAACCAGATTATCACGATCCAGTCCATTAAAAGTAATATGATGAATGGTTTAAATATTGGACCGGATTTAGGTTTCGTATCTGAGCTAGTAATTATCCCAGCCCATCAATTTTGTCCTAGATGAACGATATCTATGATTTAAATTTATAGACAGATGGTGCGACATTTATTTTATTTTATTATACTAGTAGTCACCTTTCATAGAAAAATTAGATCATCTACCCTTCTAGAGATCAAGAGGAAGTAGAATTTTTCAGTGTCTTGCCTTTTTTTAAGGTGCAAAATACTAAATACTCATTCATACATTTCAAAGTAGATATCAAATTACCATATTTAAAAAAAAAATCTTTTTTTTTATAAAGGTGCCTTATTTAATGGTGGCAGTGTGTAAAAAAAGTAACTTTTACCGGTTGAATGAGCAACACTGTGTAATCAAATTTTTTTTAATATTTTTATATGATTAATATTAATAATTAATATATATTAATATTAATATATATTAATTAATATATTTTTAATGAATATATTTCTAATTATAATTAATATAATATATATTAATATAAAAAATTAATATATTTTCAATAAATAATCAATTAAATTTTTTTTTTAATTTATATACACTTTATTTATATTAATTATAATTAAAAATATATTTATTGAAAATATATTTTTAATTGTCAATTAAAAATATACTTATAAAACAAAATTACTAATTACACAGTGCCGCCCAATAAATGGGCGGAAGACACTTTTTTACATATTGTCACTCATTGAATGGACGACACCTTTATAGCAAAAATAATTTTCTTTTAAAAACATAATAATTTAATATTTATTTTGAAATGAATGAGTATTTTGTATTTAAAAAAGTGGCAAGACAGTGAAAAATTTGAGGAAGTATCTCTTGTAAGAAATTTGTGAGTGTAAAACAATGACGTATTATAATTTATGTCCAAACGTTTCGAGTTCCAAGAATAATGCCTTAGTTGTCTTCTTACTGGAAGATCACACAGGTAAACTTGACGTTGATGAATGAACAAAATGTGTTAACTTTGGAGCTTAAGCTATGACGAACATGTCCCCAAAGTTGATAGCATGGCATTCTCTTATTCACTTTAGGGGAAAAAAGGGAAAGCAAGTTAAACCAAATAAAGGAGAACTGAAAAAGTGGAAAGACTGAAAACTTTTATTACCTTATCGCTGTAATTTGCGCAAAAGAACCGTATATGTCTCAGAACTCGCATGAAAGGTCTGTCCAATGTTTTTGATAGATCATAGATTGCTCTCACTGTTTTTATTCTGTTAGACTTTTGAGGAAGTGAGGTAATAATTAGATTCCCCACCCAACTATGTGTGTTGTGTCAATTA